AAAAAAAAAGTTAAAATGAGACCAAAGATAAGTGTACAAAAGACAAATGTTGAGAGCTTGGCAAAAACAGGTTGAAAAAATACATGCAGGCTCAAGGACTTTGTAAGCCTATTGACACTTACACTATTGTAAGTCTACTGACACTAGAACACTAGCAACACGTTTTGTTATTTTTTGCCTCTCAATCTTTCATATAGATTATACAAGAATTACACTCAAAAGTATAAATGCCCAAAGTCTGTATCAATAAATATTTACCTTTAAAAATATAAAAGTCCTATTTGACTACATAAGGTTTTATAAAATAAAAGAACTGTATTTAGAATAGTCTACTTGTTACAAATATCTAGAAATATAAAAAGGATACAGCATCCATAGCTATGAGATGAAACCTTCTATTTCTTGCTTCTTCCCTGTTAAAACAAATTTTACTTTAAGCACATTTAAGTGTCTATACTCTATTTAATAAAATTAAATCCCTAAGTCCCTGAGTTTACAAAAACATATTAAATGAAGGAATGTAGTTTACATTTGTTTCCGTACCTATCCAGCAAGTCTGCTGCAACTTGTTTATGTGCCACCTTTCCATGTTTTTCCTTCTGAAATGGCTTTTTGAGCAGTAAGTCATCTTCAAGTGTCCTAGTTTATTAAGAAGAAAAATTATTATAAAAAAGAGTTAGGACTCATGTTTCCTGATCCTTCATAACTTTCATAATTGGAACATATTTTTAAAGAATTTAAGTTTTAAGTAAGACTCACCAATCCTTAACAAGAATTTTACATTCTTAAGTAGCTTAATTAATACCTTCATTTTACTCAAAACCTATAAAATGGAAAACATGAAACTAAAAAAGTGTGAGTTCTAGCATTGGACCACCTGGGTTCCTGGGATCAAATTCTTCCTCTATGCCCTTTACCAAAAACCTAACTCAGTGCCGTCAAGTCGATCCGACTCATCGCGACCCCTCCTTGGGTTTCCAAGGCAGTATCACTACAGAAGTAGATTGCCCAATCTTCCTTCCAAAAAGTGGCTGGGGGG